CACAGGAACAGCCCTGATAGTCTCTGCTTCCCTTTGAAGCTTCATAAGCCGGGCCTCCATCATCTACAACTCTTTCAGCGTAACTGTTCCAACCTCCACAGCAACAAACTCTGAGCATGCAATGGTTTTTCCAGCCAAAAGTTTCAAACACTTCCACAGTCCTCCCATAAACACCAAGGTCAGGTCTGTCACAGCAATACCCCACTCCTGGTACCAATTACTATCTTAGTTTGTTTCTTCATTGCTGTGACAAAATACTCTGACCACTACCAACTTGGGGAGGAAAGGGTTTATTTGTCTTACATCTCCCAGGTCACAGTTCATCAGGGAGCCCAAGGTAGGAACTCAGGGCAGGAACCTGGAGGCAAGAGCTGGAACACAGGCCATGGAGGAACACTGCTTACTGGCTTCTGCTTTCTTATGCAACACAGGCCCACCTTCCCAGGGGTGGCACCACCCACAGTGGGCTGGGCCCTCCCACATCACTCATCAAGAAGATGGTCCTCAGACATGGCCACAGGCCAGTCCAAAAGAGGCAATTCCCCAATTGAGGCTCCCTCAACCCAGGTGTGTCAAGTTGACACTAAAGCTATCCAGCACAGATGGTCTTCACCAAGTCTTCCTGTCAGGAATTCACTGATCATCTTGTGAAAACCCACACCAGAGTCTCCATGCAGAGAACCCAGGCTCCAGCTGTGGCTACTACCTAGGGCTTTTATATGAGAAAAGTAAGTCTGTTTAAAAAAAAAAAAGGCAGAACTCTTCGATCCAGCCACACACATGTAAGTCTCCAAGCCATTTGAGAGGGAACTCTCACTGATTCTATTCACTCCAACAGCTATCAAAGTACGTGAAAACAAATCCTGAGTTCACTCTCAAGCCCAGCCTTGGCGGGCAAAAGAAAAATGAGGAGGAACCCAATAGATGGATGCTTTTGGAAGCCCTTGTCAAGAAATTCTAATGGACTTTGATTTGGACATTTGAAATTTGCCCTGTTCTGACCTTATCTGGTTCCCTGTCTAGAATTTGTAATGCTAACTACTGCTGCCTTTACATCTCCCAGGCACTGGTCAAGGACTTTCTTTTCTCCTTATAACTAGCAGGTATGCAATTTGGGGGTCTTTCAGATAGACCCAAGGAAGGAGTACCCCAATTACCAAACCCTGCATTCCTTTTCGGCATGGAAGAACCCAGAGTGGTCTGTACTCTGATTCCTTGTTGGCAACTTGAGTAACCTCTTCAAAGGGTAATGTGATAAGAATAGGAGGTAGTTAGGCATTTAGGGTAAAAAGACCCCAAAAGAAAAATGGCCAGTTTCTTTTATGGCTAAAAGCCAAATGTCTTTGGGCCTTTTAGCAGCCTGGTCTGTATCAAAGTACAGAAATACTAAAAGTATTTGA